CCCCCCAGATTCACCAAGGTAATGGGAGGACTCATCTAAATCTAACTGAACAGGTCACTACTACCATGTACAGTTGTTGGTGAGGAGTTTGTACAATAAGACTGATTATAGGGTCATTTTAAAAAATTAGGGTGACCCTGCGGCCAGATGTATGTGTTTGACTCGTCTGTGCCCCTTGTTTCATCATATTCTATAGCCATCAACCTTGGCCACATATCCTGCTAGCCTGACAAGCCAAGACTGACCCAATGTTAAACAATGATCAGATTACACATGCTGCAGAAAATAGAGAGGACAACAGGGAGCTGAGATGACATACAGCCTGTTCATTCTGGGTTTATCTTTACTACACAGGACAGAAAGTGAGGCAAAATCTCCAAAAGCAACAGAGAAATAAAATCCTTTTATTTTTAAGGGAAGGCTAGAGCCCCTGTCAGATTTTTATTGCTGCGTCATTTATTTTATTAATTTTATTAAAAGGTATTTATATAGTTGCACATTCACATCAGTCCCTAAGCTCAAGGAGCTTACAATCTAAGGTCCCTATCTTACATACATACAGGGCCAATATAGAGAGGAGCCAAGTAACCTACCAGCATGTCTTTGGAGTGTGGGAGGAAACCCACACGAGCACAGGGAGAACATGCAAGGTTTTTACTCACATACATGAAATTAATTAGTTGGCCCCTTTAGTGCCTGTTCACACGACGTCCGTTTTCTGTGCTGACCTGATCCGTACGCTCCTGCACTAAATATGCATCCCAATGTATCCCTATGTGTTTTATGGGCTACAGTTCTCACGTGCGCAGTCCGTTCCTGACTGAAAAAATACTGCATGTCACATTTTGTCCGGTCAGCAAACGCAACGAAAACGGAATGCAATGCAGCTAAGAATTTTTTTTTTAATTCTTGCTCCACTTTTTATGATGTCATCATCGTTGGACTTCCTGGTTGTGGTGGAGCATCAGAGGGAAAACCAGCAGTCATGACTAACATGGTCCTGGACATTGAGCGAGTCTTGGAGTCCCGGAGCCTCAAGGTCGGGCGTACCCAATAACGATGTCTCCCGCGAGCTCGCTCTCTGCAGATTGCTGTAGCCGGCACCATCAACATGCCTGCAAACATGCGATACATGTCTGATCACCAGCTTTACATACACAAAGGGAAGTAGATGTTACGAGAGGGCGGAAGTGACCTCAGGAGGAAGAATCTGCATACTGACAGCCCCACGGCTTGAAAAAAAAAAAATGTCAGCATCCGGACCGAAAACGCACAGCATAGCATGAGTAGCAACGCGTCTGCAGATCCGGACCTGATCAGGCCCTTAATGATTTGCTTCTCTTCTACATCACTGATCAAACCTGTGGCAACAATGTTTAGTTACTGTGATCGGGGGTTGTGGGCAGCCAAAATGAAAGCAGGGGCAGTACTCACCTTTCGTGATGTATGCAGTAATACGCAGCCAGCGCTCTCGTTTTCTGCTGAAAGAAAATAAAAAAGGCATCAGAAGAAGCGGAGTTCTACTACATGATCAGAGCAGCCATCTTGTCTCATTGGACAGGATTGTACAATATCCGTTAAGTTTTCAGAAGGGGGAAAAAATAACATTTCTATTTTTTTATTTTTTACCTATTCTACAGTTTTGTGAAGGGATTCTACCACAAATGTCAATCACTATTAGATCTTGAAAAGGCAAGATGAACAAGACAAAAAAAAGGATCAAGAACTCAATAATAATAATAAAACCAACATCAATATCTCAATAAAAAAAATAAAACAAGGATGATCGATAACTCAATAACAAAAACCAAGATCAAGAACTACCCCCAAAAATGAATCAATAATTCAATTTAAAAAAAAAGAAGATCAACCAAAAAAATTATGAAGTAAAAAACCAAGATCAATAACCAAATAAAAAAAAAAAAAGATTTATAAAAAAAAACAAGATTGACAACTCAATAAAAATAAATGAAAAAAACCCAGATCAATAACTCAAGAAAATCAATAACTCAATAATAAAAAGAATCTCAATCCAAAAAATAAGTACAAAACCAAGATCAAATAAAAAAAACAACCCAAGATCGATAACTAGAATAATAATAAAAATAATGAGTATAAAAACAAACCCCCAGATCAATAACTCAATAATAAAAATTGTAACCTCAGGACCCACATTTGTCCTCGGTCATTGAGTCGCGACCCAAGACGCACTGCAATGGAATGCACGGCATTGTAGTACTGGGCGTTCGGGTGTAGGCGATCAGACTGTGGGCGGGAGGTGCGTTTGGGGTGTCATTCAAGTTATTGGCAACGCAACGCACCTCCCACACCAGAACGTGCAGTAGGTGCAATTGCGTGGTCCAGTGCATTAAATCGCACTGTAATAGTGTGAACGGATCCTCAAAAACACTGACGGAGACACACACACACCAAAAATGTTTTTTTTTTGTTTTTTTAACTGCCTCCGGGCCGGCCGAAGTAGAAAAACGGCCAGCCCGGAGCTCTCTAGATCTGAGCGGGCGTCTCTAGACGTCCGCTCAGACACGCCCCCTCGCGCGCGCCGCTCGGCGCGCGCGAGCGGGGAATTGCCGTTTTTT